CTCTGGGGCCCGGCGGCAGCAGTGGCAGCCGCATCCCTTGGGATGGGCCTGGTTCGTTCAAAGACACCCGCTCCTGACTGGGTCGGTGTATGCTCCTCGAGGGATTCCAGCCCCGGAGCCGCGGAGGCGCAGGCGGCTGCGGCTCGTCTGGCGATAGGCGGCTCCGAGGAAGCCACGATCCACTGCTTCATGCACCTCTTCCAGAGCCCTGGCAGAGCTGGGCGCCCTGGGAAACCCTGGATGCAGACTTGCAGCATCAGCCCCATTGAATTGCCATGCACAGCAGTAAGAAGAAGCAAGTCCAGTCTTGTGGAAGACTGTGCAGACCTTTCCCTTGCCCTCTTCGCTCACATGGAGGTGGAGAGGGATGTTTCCAAATTGCAAACATGCTGTTAGTCTGTCCCTTTACAACCAAAATTATTTCTCAGCTAATGGCAGCAGCAACAAGCAGTGTCCTCCTGCTGTTTCTTCAACACCACTGACTCTTACCAGTCTCCTCCTTCCATCTTCACTCTCTGAAATTCTCCTGATTTCTCCCAGACCCTTTGAGCTTCCATCACCCTGCTCGAGCAGGGTGGGGTTGGGCTAGATGATCTCTAGAGGTCCCTCCCAACCCTAAGCATTCTGTGATTCTATGATCACAAAAAAGCCTCACCGATCTCACCGTCCTCCTTCCATCAACCTCTCCTAACAACGAATTTTGCTGTTGATCCTAAATGAGCTGTTTCGTACTCATGCTTTGACCTGGAAAAATCAGGTTTTGTCCGCATAACTTAGAATTCACTCAAGATATCCCAAAAACCCTGATTATCAGCATTAATGAAAATCAAAAAGACATTCTCATAAATTGCAGTGACCCTATGCAAGGAGAAAAAAAGAGAGAGAGAAGAAGGAAAAAAAAAAAAAGGCTTTCCATAGAGAGAAATGCGTCTTGCCTGAAGCCTCTGAGGTAATAGCAAGAGGCAGGAAGTCTACTCACACAAAGTCCGTTTTCAGAATAAAAGTTATGTATGGAGAACATGTGCAGACAAAAGGGTAGCAGTGTCTGAATAGAAGTAGCCATTATATCTTCTCCCCCTTTTCCCCTTCTTTCTTGTAGTAGAGACTTACTAGGTATTGTACATGTGTTACTTCTGAACCCTAAGAAATTGCAGTTTCCTCTTCTCTGGGTCACTGAGGTCAAGGAAAGTATGCTCTAGCACTGTAATACTTAATCACTGGATACAGCACATTATATCTCTGTTTCTCTCCCTGCTCTGCTTCCCTACATATTTCCAAACCTACCAGTTTTCATCCAATCTTTTTGATCACTCACTAAAGATAATTTTTCTCCATGTGCCTGCAGTCCTGGAATCTAAGTTTTTAAAAATGCTGGGAGAACATAGATCTGGAGGAAAATCATGCTAATCAAAGAAGTTTCAGCATCTCTGAAAAGCAGATACTATATTAACTTCTAACTTTAAATGCAAGGGAAGAAGAGAACAAACTAATACAGGCAAAGAGGTATAATAAGGGATAGAGCCTGGCTCAGGAAATTTTTTTTTTAAGTTAGTGGCTGCCCAAGCAACAGTTGTCCTCTACTTTGCAGTCATTCAGATGGATTGATCGAAACAGCTGTCCTTGGGAGTTCCCTGTAAGTGCCACCAAATCACATTTGTATCTTATCCTAGGCTGAAAAGATATGTTACTGAAAGAGCTGTGGGTATTTTTTTTTTCTCTTTTGTAGTTCTTTCCTCTGTTCAGAGAGAATTTGTTTTCATTTTAATCCCCTCACACCACCACCAATCTGAACTCTTAATTCTATGAGCCTCCTTCCTTTACCCTGAGTGATATCGGGTTCCTCTGATTCCCTCTTCAGTGAAAACTAAAAATATGGACAGATATCAGAGCTTTGACTCGCCTGATTTTATTCCCTGTGCTTGTCTATGTATTCCCTTTGGCTTGTCTGAAGCTCTAGGTTTCAGCAATGGCACATTTGGATTTTCTTCATTAGGCTACATCACCTGCATTAGTTGATTGTGACTTCTGCCTCAGGGTTATTCCACAGTCAGACAATCCTCGAGCTTAGTCTGCCGGAAAAGCTGCTTTCCATTTACTGATGGGTTTGCCTTTTGCTTCTTCAGTGATGTAGTAGTTTATACAAGGAACTGTCAAGCACTTTTGCTGCCACAAGGTAAGTGTCAGGCATGTATAGCTGAGAGATAGCTGGAAAGAAGGAGTTCTGCACCCCAGAGGGGTGAACTGTCCATCATTCTCATGGAAATTAGAGTCAAGTATGTGCTTGTTTATCCCATAGAACTATTACCCCACCTTATGGATGTTTCACATGTTTTGATGCCACAAACCCTCTTTTTTATTTTTTAATTTGGAATCAATATCACCCAGTTGCTGGAAGAATCTTGTACGTTATCTTGCTATCTATCTAAAGCCTAACTTTGTCTGCCATTTTTTAATATCATCAGTTCGTTCAAAGGATAGATTTGCAACTGTCTTTAGGTTCTTATTAGTACATGTACTCATTACAGACCTTATGCATACAAACCTACACTTGAAAAATAATTTTCATTCTCATCAGAAGTTCATAAGATTACATAGATGATCAGTATTTCTGATACAACCGTATGTTCGTCCATACAGTAGGTTTGTTGGTAGCTCACTATCTGTACAGTTTCTGCTTTTTAGTAAGCTAGTATCTAACTTTTACTTCATGAAATCAGTTAAAATACAGTATTTATCATACAGTATCATAAAAATAGTCATTATTTTACATTCTGAAGAAATACAGCAGCATCTCAGACAGCAGATATGAGTGTTAACTGTTCTTAACTGACTTTTAAGACTACAGCCTGCAACAGTCATATACTGTGTGTGAGACATCTTTGGTGTTCTGAGTTTTGAGTCAAATGAAGATCATATCAAAATGGTCCCCAGCCAGATTCTGGTTTTGCTCTCAAATGTAGCAAGATGAAATTTTATGCCATTTCAGACACGTCTGTTAGTATGCTTCAATGGCATGTTCCACACACAAGGCAATTTGTTTTGCTGAGTATTATCCTGTACAAAGGGGATAACAGAACCAGATCTTTGAACAAAGGACAAGAATACAACCTAAAGCTAGCTGTCCCTCCTCGGTGCCTGTCCTTACTTTTCCTAAGCAGCGTTATTCCTACTACAGGCACAGGAAGTGAATAATAACAAATAAATTGTTTTGATTTACTTCAATATATATATACTTTTTAAAATTTTATTTATTTTTTACTGCTCTGAATATTTTCCATAAGCATTTCAAGTACTTTCTTAAGATTGTACTTTTAAGTAGGAAAGTGTGTACAAAATATATATGTTACAGTGCAGATTTAAACGCTGGTCTAAAAGACCTTTTAAAGTAAGTTTTCGCTCAGGATTAGGGGACAGGGATTCTGAAGTATCTAGAGAGAGGAAGTAAAGATCGATCCTTTTTAGAGATAGGTATCTGAAAAAGAGGGAGCAACAGAAACAGTGACTTGCAACATCCTACATGATTTGTGGTGTGATGAGCAGAGTTATATGCTCCTGTTATCAGTCAGCTGTAGAGTTTCCCCTCCACAAACCCTGTTAGGAGAGGCATACTGGCCAGGGGAGAAGGACATATCTGTGTTCTAGCTATCTTTACATAGCTACCCTTAACAAATTCTTGTTTGTAGAGCAGAGCGTTGGGTCTGCTCTAACTTATCCTAACAAAGTCAAGAATTCATCTGGTGGCAGGGTGACTTAAAATTCCTTTGACCCTTTTCTCCTCCAACTTCCTGCACCTATACCATGAATGCCACAGACACATTGATTGAAATATCATAGTAACCTAGATAAGCGTGTTCTCAGTAAGTATTACATGGCTTCAAGTTGAGTGGTGCGGTGAGTTGTGGAGTAGGGAACTAAGAAGAATTGTCCTCTCCAGTGGTCTAGTCCTCACCCCTTCCAACTCACATGCAGAGTTGTAATCCTAGGTTGGAACAGGAATGGTGGTGAGGAAAACATACTTCCAGCAATAACAAAAATAGTCACTTCATGCCCAGGAGGGGTCGGCAATAGCTGCCAGAAAAGCAATTTCAACAAACTTTGTTCTTTATCTTTGTTCTTTTTATCCTATACCTACATATCAGCTTGTTCCACACTGAGATTTTTCCAACATAACCCTTAACACAGGTTTATGCTATAAATTGGTAACTGTCTGCTTTTTTGCTTTTTAAGAGATGATGAATCACATCTACTAAATCTATTTCTGCAGATGTATTATAAGATAAAAATATA